GGCGATCCTGGTCTCCCGGTGCCCCCAGCCAGGAAAAGAAGTCATCCCTTCTCTGGGAAGCCGCGGCCGGGGAAATTACGCACCCAAAGCAAAAGCCGCTCTGAAGGAAGGAGGCAGGAGAGAAATGTTGGATGGATTGAATGAGGGCTCCGTTTGCATGTTTTTCCCTGGGGAGGAAAGCGATACGAGCACCGGGAGAGACCCGGGGAGTTGGCCGAAAGGCTGGAGGTGGGTGACAGGAGGTTCGGGAGCACGGCGAAGTGTCATGTCATACAATTAAAGAGATCTCGGAGGAGTCAGGGTAGAGAAACGTTGTCTCCGTAACAGCGAGTTCCACTTCCAGGGTAACTCACACCCCTTCTCCCCGGTACAAGAGCGAATTTCCATCTGCCCGGAGAGTGCTTGCATAGGGGCTGGTTGTAAATAATCACGTACAGAAAGATATATACTCCTCATCGCCCCGCACACGCGGGGCTGGGGACAGGGGGACAGGCGGAAAGAATCGGTGTGCATTTGTCTGCATATTTTTACCTCTGAAAGGTTCCTAGAGAGAGAGAAGGTGGGTAGATTTCGGGTTCATTTTGGAAACAGAAGAGTTTTATGGGAGTCAAATGCCAGGAGAGTCACACACAGAATAGTCACGATGCCGTTTCCGTCTCTCACCTCCAGAAATCTAAACACAAACCGGTGGCACCGAATAAACTTGATAAACCGAGCAGAGATTTTCCGGCGAGCTCCCTCTCGTAATTGCTATGTAATTCTCACAAGCTATTAAAACGCCCGGGTTGTTCTCTCTACCCCCGATTTCACTTTACTAGGTCTCCAGCAGATTAAAACTGTCAAGGGCCAAAAGCGTTCAGCGGCTTAGGTAGCTTCCATCATTTCAGGACTAAAACTCTTCTGTCTCGGGAGGAGAAAGCCTCTAAGACATGTAGTAGTTTTCGGTGATCGGGCAGCTTTTGGAAAGGCAGAAAACCTGTTAAATCGCTGAGGACAGTAAGGAAGTTTTTTTTGTTTTTTTTTTAGCAGAACTTCTTAATAAATTCACTTGTGAATTAACGTTCATTTAAAAAAAAAAATCCTAAAATTTCAAATTTAATATTAAATAGTCAATGGCAAGTAACGTAGCCTCAAAAATTTCTGGAAAAATCTCCGGGATGTCGAAGGACTAAAAGAATTTTTCTTCAAAAAAGATTCGGTCGCTATAACTTGCGGCGTAAATCTTCGCTGACCCTCGCGGGTATGCAAAAGCGAAGGGAGAGGGAAAAAAAAAAAACCCACAACAAAATCCACCAAACAGAGTGGCTCAATATATTTGTTTGTTTGTTGTTTTACTTTTTTAGTTGGGAATATTTTGAGGGTCCTCTTCTCCTTACGTGAACAGAGAGGGAAAAGGAGAGTTTGCAGCCTCTGTCCTACTGGGGACGGATCGCTTCAGCGCGGAGAGGCGTTTGATTTTCGAGACAAAAGCAGAGGCTCCGTTTACATAAACTTTCGCCGAATCAGGATGGTTAACATTTCAATATTGAAACCCTTAATCTTGTTTTATTTTAAAGGGGGAAGAGATCAGCAGGGAAAAAAAAAATCCGTTTCCCACGTGGATAGGTGATTTAATGCTGTTTTTCTTACTGCTAAGGGAAATGATTGAGCATTGGGTTTCAGTGTTTATTTTCTTACAGAAGTTTTTCTCATTTAAGCTGCAGTTTACTTTCCACGCTGCCTCTCTGCTTAATTCCAGTTTTGATGTGAACTTAAAACGTGAAGTGCAGAACTAAACTACTAGCATGATCGTTGAAAAAGCAGATTTATGTCTTAGAAAGAATACTAAGCGAGATGAGTGGATAAACCCATATTTTCTTC